TTTCTTCAATTATATTTAACAATATAATTTTTGTTACTATGAATCTAAGTAAAAAAAGAATATAATTTTAGTTTGTAAAATTACAGAGATGTACAAGCACAAATACTATTTATAGCATCATTTACTAATACATTGTCATCAGTCATACATATACTCTTACCACTGTATATTTTGAATCTGAAAATCCATAATTTAAGAATTGATACTATGTACTATCATGGGGTGAAAGTACGTATATCATAGCACATGACAGTAAGGAAGATAACGAGAGGATCTATCTCATTTATTTGTCACATTATACTTGATAGTTTTTCTTTGACTTGTATCATATGTACATAGTTCCGTAGAGTATGAACGTGATGAGAATGCTTTTATGACTACGGTTTCATGGAGGACTTTGATGAAATAAGTTCTCAAAATTTGTGTTTATATGATCATATGTATTTTAGACTATAAATTTTACTTGTATTCGCCTAGTCCTAACTTTTAGATGACATTGCTGTTCGATTAATCTAAATACGAAAGAATGAATATGATATATTTCTTAAAATAATATTTATCATTGAATTTGTTCTAGAAATCAATCTATAAAGACAAAGCATAATTGATTTTGTTAAGTTAATCCTTATCCTTAAAGTTAATGTTAAGATTAATCAAAATAACAGGAATAAATTTTAGTCTTTTATAGTAATATTTATTTGACTTTAATATTGAGTTTGAAATATGCAGGTCATACACTCTTTCATAAACTCTCCATTGAGTTTTTTATCTTTACTATTAATACCTGGTAATCGGAAATCTCCTACAGATTTCTGAGAGTATCAATCAGAAGTTTCCGAGAATTTTGCGTTTTTCAAAGGATACACCGATAAGTCTACACTTAATATAGACTAAAGCTATCTGTTTAAGTTATCAGGAAAATGATTATATATGTTTCTTAACAATGATGTTTTATTAGAAGGATCTATCAACGAAATCAAGAACACAAAGAAGTATTACGAAGCTGATGAAATAGAAGAAGATCATAATATTTAATATAGATACTCAAAATAACACTAAATATATTTTCATAAAATAGAAACGTTTTGAAGAATACTTCTTAAATTAATGATTATAGTAATCGATACTCAATAGTTATTGCTTTTTGTTGTAAATCAATTGTTATGCATGTGACATAAATAAGTTTTTGAACTTGATAATGTTTTTGTGACACATTTTTGCATATACATTTTTGGTTTATTTTTTCACATAAAGTCGATTGGATCGGCTGTTAATTTTATTATCTCATGACGTAGTCTACAGCACTCTCTAAAAAATGCATTCAAATATAACTATAAAATAGAAAAGTCATTGCAAGAGAAATGATGAAGCTAACGGCACATCACGTTGTAATTGACCTTTAATTGCTATGGGTAATTAGTTTTTTATTTGAAAGATTATGTATAGCGGTAGTGTCGTGCATGTGGTAATCGAGTAGCTGGTGAATGAGTCGAAACACAGTAGAAAAGTACTGCCATTCGGACAAAGGCTCACAATGCATGGTAAAAAAAACGAGGACATACAGTGACAAACGGATATTCGTTACGTCGATTGTTTATGTTCTCGAAGACTTGACTATTTTTTTGTCCGCCATTTTTTCGAAGTTTGCAGATTATTATTACATAAGTTTAAAAAAATATCTTAAAACTATTGTTTAACAAACTTCCATGATTTATAATCTATACATTTTCATAATATTATTTGTCATTGCTGGGTGGAACACATTAAGATGCTTCTCTGGAGCGCTTTGTTGGGATAAATTTAATTCACTCTTTTTTTTTTGTTTTATTAATGTGAAGTTCGATAGATTTTTTGTATACATGAGTGAATAGATTTTATTTAGAACTATTCGACTAGATGACACATACTCATCAGAAAAGCCTTTGTGTCATTGTAAATGATGATCATCAAGTCATAAAGAATCAGTGCGTTCTTATGTATTCTATCCGTTTTGCGCTTTTCTTCATACTTAAGTATCATAGATAGGAGGATCCCGTCTTTTTGTATTACAAATACTCAATATGAAATTTATTTAACTACTGATCTTATTCTTGATCACTCTATATCAAAAGCAACGCCTCGTCAAAGTCTGACAACATTCATAAATGTATGTGATAATTCTCTTATTCAAAATGATATCTTTTTGAACTTTTTATTTTTATTTTTATCGAGTAACTGATTTATTTTAGAAGAATTTTTAATTATTCTCTTCCACAAATAGTTATTGCCTTCGTATATTCTCCGTTGTTTTAACACGTACATTCTTTATATTGTTTGTAAGTGTGAATCTCATTGTACGAGTGCTTTTTATGTAGTGAAACCTTTCATAATAATTTTAAGCCATACGTGGGATATTGTAAAGATTCTAATAGGCGTATATATATTAAAGCACTTGCGATGAAAAAGGTGTAAATAAGACAATATATGGCAAAAATACATTTCTAATACTAACCATCATTTTTTCGACCGAAGTTATAATAAATATCGCTGTTGATGTTCCGGTAAAAAACACTCTGTTATCTACGATAGCGGATGATAGCCTAAATGTAGCTATCTCTTTTTAGTGTCAGTGACAGAGATTAGACTATTTCCAACGATTGAAACGATCGTTTTTGGGGCACAATGCCCACTTTTTGAGTTAACTTATAATTTGTTACATAAAAAACGCTTTTGAAGATAGATTTCATTGCCGAGAGCATTTTTGAAGGCTTTGAGCTTGTCAGCCTATGTTTTCTCACAAAACTGAAGACTTTTAAAAAAAATTTCATTTTTTATCCTGCATCCAAGTATCTTCAAACAAACAAAAATACCAATTGTTTTCTATGAGACGTATACAGATAATTCCAAAGGGCGCAATGAGCCACTTTTGACTCCAATTTGAAGAATGTTCTCCAAAACATCATGATACTGAAGTGAAAGTTTTATATGATCTAAATGTAACTTGGTCAATATCGATTTTTCGACAGAGAACAGTTATTAAACTTTTTAATTATGCTTGTTTCCTTTTTATATTTTGTATTTTGTTTCAAAAACCTATTGAGCAAATTTATCATCTATAATAATGCCTTCATGACACTATGGAATTTTTTAGTAGCAAATCTGGGAATAGCAACTCACGTCATTTCAATAAAACTACAACGCAATTACTTATTTTCTGTTTGAATTGAAAACACTTTGACTTGTATTTTTTATGACATAAAAAGCTTGACACAAAAATTTTTTCTTATGTATGATTTTACGCTATATATTAAAGAATTCATGTCTGACGGAAACAAAATACTAAGTGAAATCGCTTGAGTGCTTCAGAATTCAGACAAATGATCTCGTTAATACGACATAGTAGAGCTGATAGATCAATTCTAGAAGAATCTCACAGAAAAATACTTAGTTTGTTGATTAAATAAGAACTCAGATCTAAATAATATTATAAATAGAAATTTTCTAGTATTCTTCAAAATCAAACAATTTGTCACTTGAAGAAACAAACATGACACTTCTATTTTCTACTAATTAAAAACAGACGTTAGTAAAAAAACCAACATTAATTGAAAAATAAATTAGATGTAGTATTTAGTTATGGAGTTTTTATTCATTGAATAGTCCAAAGTCTTTACGTAAGCAGAAAATATTGCTGTTCTTTGTTTTTTTCATAATCTTTATTCAAAAAAGCGTAAAGCGTCAGTTTTCAAGTGCACTTCTTTCAAGCAATATTCATATGTGGCAACTAATGGTATGTCTAACATTTGTAAGTAATTTCCTATTGTTCTATTACTGATATTCAATATTTTTGCTAGTGTGAATTCATTCCTAGGTGATTATTAAACTTGCCAATCTCATGTATAGTCATAGTTTTCTGATATAAACATAAGATTTTCAGAGTTTCTAAACAGCAGTAAACGGAAGACAAGTACCCATTTTCAAGATAACTCTTGAACTCTTTACAATTTTCTCATTTACATATCAACAGCTGTCAAAAAAAGAAGTTGAATTTTTTCTTGTAAGTCTTAAAGATAAAAAAGACAAACATCGAGAAAAAAAGAAAAACACTGAAGCGAAAAAAAAAATAAGAGAAAAGTGGATGTCACAATAATTTAGTCGTCACATATTCATACAAGTAAAAACATACAGAACAGCTTGTTTGAATGATTAATGAATTGAAGAAAAAACTGACAAATCTTTCTTCTGGTGAAATATTCTTTTAAATAATTAACTCTTTGATTACTTATTAATCAGTGTATATGCATACATATATATACATATATGTGTGTGTACAGGAAAAATCTTGGTATTGAAATAGGTGTCAAAAAAACACTAAGATGAACTTCAATAATATTGAATGTTAAATGAGATGAAAAGCAAATTAACAACTTCGTGTAAATTTTCTGTGTAGAATGTAAGTTCTAATTTTTTTTTCTATGTGTGTCAAAGAATAAAGAGATCCATCTTTTTTAATGCATCTGTCTTCTTCGTTCTTTTATTTCTTTTTTCTTTGTAGCTTTTGTGATTAGAATTCAATTGAGTTGCGTGCGTTGTTTGACAAAAAAGAAAACGACTGAGCATATATGCAAGATAATTTGAGAGTGATTCAGTAGAGAATAAATTGATAGATATAATAATCAGGCGAACAGATTTACTCGTTTCAATACAATGACATTAATGATGCCGACACTTTTAATGAAAATAACTTCTATAGAGATCGTGGGCTAAATATAAACAAAGGCTACTGCACTTTTTTTTTTCTATCTGATTATGTTAAACATCAGCTCATGTATCGTCATTATTGTATTCTATTTTCTTTTTCTAATACTGAGAAAAAAATGAAAACTTCTGTTTTCTTTTGGTTCTTCTTTTAGATGAAAACTTATATAAATATATATATAAATGGAACCTTTTTTTTTGGCAACATTTAATAGAACACAAAACAAAATCCGGTATTCATAGAAACAGAACTAATAAGAATAATGAGTTTTAACGAGAGTAATTCAACAGAAATACCTGTTGAATGGTTTCCTGGATTACAAACAGCTGCTTGTATTTTCTATACTATTATACTTCTTGTTGGTATTATTGGAAATATATTGGTGATCATTATTGTGACAAAATATCGAGATATGCGCAATGCTACTAATCTTCTTTTAGCAAACCTATCCATTGCTGATCTATTTCATTTATTATTTTGCACACCAGACGGTTATCAACATTTATACGGAAAAGATAAACATCGATTGGGAACGTTTATGTGTATATAATCATTCTAAATGCTTTAAATTTTCTTTTGAAAACTATATTTTGTTTTTTTTCAGGTAGTTTTAGTCCATTTGTTCAAAATGTGACATCAACATGTTCAGTATTAACAATCATGGCCATTAGTTATGAAAGATATGTTGCTATATGCCAACCACTTAAAGTATATATTTGATCTCGAATATCAATAGTAGAAAAATTCTTGGTTTTTTGTTTTGTTTTTTAAAGACATCTCCTCTTCATTTAACCTTATTTCGAACATTACCAACAGCTATTTTCTTTTGGCTTATATCTTGTTTAATCTCAATTCCTTTTTATATTTATTCTAATACAGGATCAGCACAAGCAATATATAATGAAACAATTGTTACATGTAAAAAATACAAAGTCTGTTTTTTTTTGTTTTGAAAAGTTTTTCAATTTTCATAGGTTTTACGCATTTTCCATCCTCATGGGGTAATGAGTATTTAATATCATGTACATTGTGTCTTTATGTATTGATATTCTTCATGCTTTGCTATTGGCATTTTTCAATATGTTCTATATTATTTAATCGTGAAGCACTTTTACGTGACAATACAATTGTTACACGATATCGTCGTCAAGTAGCATTGTTACTTATTGTTTTAATAATAACTTTTTTTATACTTATTTTACCACATAAAATGTGGGCTTATATACAACATGGGTTAAGTAACGAGGAATTTTTTCAAATGGGCTTTCATCGGCATTCATTTATTATTATTTCTACACGCTTGTTATTATATCTCAATTCAGCTGTAAGTCTATTTTCTTTTTTTAGCATAACCATGTTTTCCTCTTAACGTTTAAGTATATTATTTATATGATTATAGAAAATTATAAGAAGATTATCATTTTCTATGTAAATACTACCTTGATGACAATAGATCAAATATCAAAGCTTTCAAGAATACATATTTTTCATATACCTTGTTATTTAGCAATTTATTTAGTGCAGATTTCACTTTTGTTTATGTACTGATACTCACCAAAATATTGTACCTATAAAATGAATGTAGAAAAGAGAATTATTAGTTCATAAATATGTTTCCGATTTAATTTGTAAGCTTGTAGTCTAATCCGACTAATCCTATAGAATAATGTTTTGTATAAGAAAATCACAAAAGCTTTCCTATGAATAAATGAAATTTTTTTTTTCTATCTTCGTTATACAGATCAATCCATTGTTGTATTCAATAATGTCAACAAAATTTCGTCAAAGTTTTTTTCTACTATGCGATGATTGTCGTCGATCAACAAAAAGTCAACGTTCGGGCACTGTATTTTTTTCTAAAGAATATGCTGGAAGACAAATTATAGGTATAAATGGACTTGGTGGTGGTACAATATCGGCAACAGGAAAAATTTCATATCACCAACCTAATACAAGTCAATTTCAAGAGAAAAAATGTCTGCTTTCAAATATCATAGCAATGCCAATAACAGAAACACCTCCGATGGATGTTACAAAATCCAGTTATTCCGACTGTTATATTTGAAATATTTGGAAAATAATATGACAATGTACTTATCTGTATATATACATATATATGTTGTTTTGATGTTGTTGTATTAACATTGTGAAACAAGACCTAAATACAAATATATCTATTTCATTACATAAATCTAAGAAAAATATCCATTAAAGTTGATATATATTTATAATTATACAGAGCATTTGTTAATTATTATGTAGAAGATTTTTTTTATTGGAAAAAATAATTATAGGTCATGTCGACGAGTAGACTGGATACTTTACTCATGAGATATCTGGTAATCGATTATATTCTTGATGTGCTGATCGATTAGTATTCATTAGAAATGAAAACTGAGTTCGATCAAATGCTTTTTTTTTATGTTAAGCGCATTAATCTCTTATTGAAAAACTAAAATGAAAAATTTCGTTTTTTGTCAATAAAAAATTTTCATTTAGTTTCATGGTTCCTATCTGTGTTATTTCCCTCACCATAAGATAGGTTTTTTTATCGCTTTCAGTAATTGAACTGCACAATAACAACTGATCAATAGATAAAATTCATTTTTTTTTAAGAAACTGTTAACAAACAATTGTTTACAACTATGTCTTATGTGATCTTTTCAAATGTTCAACTTGCTTTATTTTTCACTTTGATAAGATTTAGAACAAATACAATATATTTGTGCCCATTGATTTGTACATTCTCTCATAGATAATCCAGAATCAAAAGAAAAATAATCTACATTTTGAATTTTAAAACTAAGTATTCATATTTCATCATCGACGTCATAAATCTACTTATCTCTGAAAAAGCAAGAAAAAGACTAATCTTAACAAACTTATTATGTTAAGTATATATAATATAGCTAATGTCCATTTCAGAGATAAATGGCCGTGGGTATTTTTCGAATAACTTTTGATAGGAATGAGATAGAGAGCTGCGATTTTCACCGTTGAAAAGAGTAGATGAAAATACATCGAACCATATATAGAAAGATTTTTCGAAACGGCTTTCCTGAAGGTTTTACGTAAAACTTCAAGAAAAACAGCATGCCTCTCATGATTGCGATATTAATTTATTGACTTTCAGGAGTGTGCTAGAACCGCCAAATGAAGAGCTACAAAAAACTATGGAAAGGCTCTATTCCTAACTACCACCAAGACGATATTCTAGCCATTGGAGTGCAATTCACCCCCAGTTTTTGAACAAAATAGTCGAAAAAAGGAGGTTTTTGTGATATTTCCATGGAAAAATCACTTTTTTAACGTACGAGAAAAACGCAATTCTTTGAAAGCGTTTGACTAAAACCTTCAGGAAAGTAGTTAGAAAAATCTTTCTATACATGGTTCGATGTATTTTCATCTGCTCTTTCCAGCGGTGAAAACCACAGCTCTCTATCTCATTCCTATCAAAAGTTATTCGAAAAATATCCACGGCCATTTATCTCTGAAATGGACATTAGTCTATTGAAGTCTTAGTAGTCGTAATATAAAAACAATTTCTTTATTACTTCGCATTATCTGTATATGACTCCATGCAATTATGGACATCTATGTTCGATATCAGATAATTTGAGTTTGACAGAGGTGTCTGATTTTCTATTACTTCTTAAGTATTATATTCATTCTAACAACATATTTTATTCCTAATATGGTCTTATTGAAAAATTTTGACTAAATATTTGAAAAAAAACTAAAAATGAAATATTTCATTTCGTTTAAATTCTATAGATTGAGAAAAAACTAAGTCAATTAAAATAGGCTGTAATTTAAGTAGTCAGTGCTTGAATTACCGATATTTAATAATAGAATAGTCAGTTGATTATATATAATCAGTAAAAAAAAAACTGACTTTATTAGCAGATATTTTTTTTTAATCTATATAAAATAGGTCACGAATGTGGATTCGAACGGATTTTCATTTGATACACATCTGTACTCCCACACCCTGATGATCATCATGATCAACTTCAGCTTTATAAATAGTAACTTTTTCACTGTCTACATGATATCGCAAATAAATACTTATTCTATATTAAGGACTATATTACTTGATTTTGTTGCCTGTAAAATAAAGTGTTCTTTTATATTCTATATAATTTGTATAACATTTTGTCCATTTATTTTAAATTAATGATTTTACTCTATCAGAATTATCAAATGTAAACTTGTCAAGCTTATATTTTGATTTCTTTTTATTTGGCAGAATCTTTCGTTTTCCTTTATTTCATTATTTTCTCCCACAAATTCTTCATCAGATGCATTATTTTCATGTTGATCAATTTGTATCACAATCATATTTTGCATCGATGAATTCTAAGGTGAAGTCAGAGAAAAGGATAGAAGCAAAAAAGTCCCTACATTTCTATTGTACATAGCATCTGTACTCTATGGTACAAGAAAACCAAAAACATGTAAATTATACTATAACATATATCAATTTCTACACTTACTCTTTAATTTAATTAAGTGTTAGTAAAATTTATTTACTAGCTTTTAAATCTATTAACAAAAATGATCCATCACTAACTGACTATTGCAGTAATTTACTTATAAATTATTTCATCTGTTTTACTGATTAAATTTTTTTTCGCATCAAAATATGATATATCTTTACATTGATTAGTTAGTAAGACGAACTGTCGTATGTTGATCTTTCTGCTTCCTTTTTTTTCAACGTAAAATATAGATCAATGATGAATTGTGAAAAAAACTTATTTTAATTTCTACAAACATTTTGGTTCGTAGGTTCAACTAATGTGTATTTAATCAATCTGTAACCGCACAGAGATTTTGATTATTCACTTAGAAAGAATAAAAAATATTCGAGTACGTAATTTATTGTTCGTGGATTTACTCTTCATTAACTAACATGACGAAGAAAAATGAGTAATTATGGTGAATGTGAAGATGAAAGTGAGGGTTTAAAATATAGAGAAGATATTCAGTCTAATCCACTCTCAACTCACCTTCACTTACAACTCCATCCTACATTTATTCTCACTACTCATCTGTTCATTTCTTTTCGCCCAGATAATTAACAAAAATTAAATTCTTATACAAGAAAACTCTTAAGAGGAATATATTATTATTTAATCAACGGGCAGTAGATCGTATAATCTATAATCTTGCATTTGGAATAACTGCTTTTATCTCTGATTAGTCGTTGTTTTTGTATTTGAAAAAGAAGCAAACATTATGCATGAAAATTCCCACATGATAATAGAGATTTCGATCAAATGGACATAAATTTTTCCTTGAATATCTGCATTGATCATTGATATGTCAAATAGATGTGTACAATCTTTGATCTTCACTACAGCAGAATCAATAGTCCAAAATCAGAAAAGCTTAATTCAAAGAAACATTCTATCATTGTAAGAGGAGTTTTAAGAACTGAACACCAATTCCAAGTCGGATACTTTCGCTTCATTTTTTTTCACATTAACAGAATATTTCATTTCATGTCGCATTTTATGAAGTATTCCATTATAATATTAGTTTCGTATTAGATATTCTAGTATTGATTAGACTAATTGGAGATCATTTGATCGATCTACAAGTCAAAGTTCGAAATAAATTCAATTAATGGAACTTTCATTATCTTTAAAAAATGTTTTTTAAATGTACATATAAATACATTGTGTCTAAATTATTATATATTAACTGAAAATTTAAAGAGATTATTAGATAGTAATCAAGTGATTCATTTTAATAATCGTACAAAAAAAAAGAAAATTGAATCCGCATCAAATAAACTCTATCGTCTTCATAGTTTGTGATTTATAAGCGATCTTCATTTATCGATATCTTCATTAGCATCAGAAAAATGATAATTTAATCTGTAGCATTTTCTCAATTGAGAAAATCGTTAATTGATTTGAAAATAAACAACTCCTAAGCAAATGTAATTCCTGAATTATCTGTGGATAGATCCTTTTGAACAAGTATACACAACTTCACCAACAGGTTGTCGTATTTTCAAAAGAGGCAAAGGTACCCTGACCATTGAAATCTTTAAATTTAAAAATGATTTATCGAATTATATTCTCTTGATGTTGTAACATTATGTATCAATACTTCAAAAAACACTTTGAGAAATTCTACAATCATAAATGTCGCCAAAATATGAATTTGAAAAACAGCAGTAAATGTCTAGTATTCAAAGCTTACATAGCAATGTCACCAATTAATTAGTTTATTATCGAATCGATCGTTAATAAAACTGAAAAAAAAACATACAAACAATTTTTATTCGAATGTCTCTTTAATATTTTCATATTAATTTGGAATATAAAAATTTTTGTTCGCTTGTAACTTTAATGCAGACTATATTTTCATATTATTATTACCTACGAATAAATTCTCAACTTTTTAGTTAATATAGAATACCTTCGGCTCATGATGTTTTTCTAAATATTTATATAATTCTTTTGTACAATTGATTGCTTCTATATAGAATCCAAAATATCAAATAATAAACATACTTTTTCGCCTTGTTTCTAGAAGTATGCAAACTGAAAAATCAGAAAACTTGGCGGCATCTATCAATTAATCAAACTCTTTAAAAAAAATAAGCACATAAAATTTATTGTATTCTATTGCTTGATTTCTAATTTAATTTAAAAATTTAATTAGCTATTGCTTTAATATAATTATCATATATAATTAGCTGTCGTTGCCATAGTATTGAAAATAACAATGACAGTTGCAATCAAAGTTAACAAACATGTAAATGGTTTTTTTTTGTTCAATATCGAAGGTCAATAAAAAAAATCATTTAATAAACATGAAGTCTTATTGGTGACTGAGAGAGAAAAAAAAAACTATTCTGTAGAATTTAAAAACACACATGCATAAAATTTAACACGTTTATTTTTTTTTCAAATACTTATATTATTTTTTTTTTAGATCAATTATAGTAATTGTTGAAACCATTCAGCAGTTATTATTAAGATTACCTAAAGTGACATACTCATGGCATCATCAAAAACACGTGATCCATGGCAACAACAACAAAAT